ATATGCTCAGGCATGCTCATTCAAAACCCCTGCAGCAGAAGCCCTCCAAACTTTCCTTCAGCATGGTGAACACTCCTCCAGATGGATCGAAAAAAAACTGGAAGACCGACCTCCGCTTCATGAATCAGATTAACATGGATCTATGTCAAGTTAAGGGCAACAGCGGCACTTCTCCGCTCCCTGGAATATACCCATTCCAAACTACCAGTGCCTCCATTTCCCCCAAACTACTTCTTAAATCACAACCAAAATTCGCTTTGAAGCCAAAACATTGAGGCCTTAAAGCTGTACGCGCGCTCGCAACTTAGTCACACAGCACACACTCTCGGGGCAAATTTATTTACGCTGATGGTTCTGTTCACCAATCCACTGGTGCAGTGGTAGTGCTGTGTTGTTCGTACAGAGTGATGCTCTCTTAAGAAAGAATTGGACGCATGCACGCATCAATAATTGGGCCTCTACCCTTCAGACAGAACGTTTGCCATACTCCTTGCATGAAATGCATCTATAGTATCAAAGATTGACAAGGTTTAATTGTAACGATTGTCATCCATAAAATGCTCTCAACTCTTTAAGCATAATGTGGCATTGCTTTTGTGTCAGAAGCCAGACCACAGGTATGGTTGGATTTGGTGGACAGTGGAAAGTCAGTGCACATGCTTGGATCCATCTCACATTGGTCTTCAAGATGCATGATAGAACTGATATAATTGGCTAAGCTGTATGCTTTCAAAGATGGGAGTAGATTACAATCTTGGCTTGTCAGGTTAGTAGTTTGAGAATAATACGAAAAAAGAAAACTTCAACCTGAATTTTATGGACTTAATTGTATCAGGGAGGACTGACACCGTTATGTGTCCATCTAATCATCACTCTATCAAGCAGGAAGGAGGCCACATGTTCTATGGTGGATCCAAACAAAATATGCAGGACTCCTTGGATTGTCACTACTGCCCGGGCTCGGTGGGTTACAAGTATCTTTTGGCAGGTTTTAAAATCACCACCACCTGATGTAGACCAAACGAAATGTTAACTTTGCCAGATGGACATTATCACACCCTGCGTCGATTTAGGTACTGGAGTGTGATAAAATTAATGAATTTTAGAAACAACTCGCTCAAGAAATGTTCATGAAATGCAAAGTTTTTTTATCCACAGTGGTATATTACAGACCATTCTGGAGAAATACCCTGACTTTGCTAGCTGGTAAAATAAAGCATTTACCCACGTGTGTTTTGTGTGTGTTGTTGTGTGTTTGTGTGTGTTTGTGTGTGTTTGTGTGTGTTTGTGTTTGTGTTTGTGGTGTGTTTGTGTTGTTGTTTGTGAGTGTTTGTGTGTGTTTGTGTGTGTTTGTGTGTGTTTGTGTGTGTTTGTGTGTGTTTTGTGTGTGATTTGTGTGTTGTGTTTGTGTGGAGTGTTTGTGTGTTTGTGTGTGTTGTTTGTGTGTGTGTTTTGTTGTGTGTGTTTGTGTGTGTGTTTGTGTGTGTGTTTGTGGTGTGTGTTTGTGTGTGTGTTTTTGTGTGTGTGTTTGTTGTGTGGTTTTTTGTGGTGTGTTTAGTTGTGTGTGTTTGTGGCGTGTGTTTTGTGTGTTGTGTTTGTCGTGTGTGTTTTGTTGTGTGTGTTTTGTTAGTGTGTGTTTGGGGTGTGTGTTTGTGTGTGTGTTTGAGTGTGTGTTTGTGTGTGTTTGTTTTGTGTGGTGTGTGTGTGTTTTGGGTTGTTTGTGTTTGTGTGTGTGTTTGTGTGTGGTGTTTGTGTGTGTGTTTGGTGTGTGGTTTGTGTGTGTTGTTTGTGTTGGGTGTTTGTGTGTGGTGTGTTTGTGTGTGTGTGTGTGTGTGTTTTGTCTTGTGTGTTTTGTGTGTGTTTGTGTGTTTTTTTTTGGTTGTGTTGTGTTTGTGGTGTGTGTTTGTGGTGTTGTGTTTGTGTGTTTGTGTGTGTGTTTGGGTGTGTGTTTGTTGTGTGTGTTTGTGTGTGTGTTTGTTGGGTGTGACTTTGTGTGTGTGTTTGTGTGTGTTGTGTGTGTGTTTGTGTGTGTGTTTGTGTGTGTGTTTGTTGTGTGTGTGTGTGTGTGTGGTGTGTTTGTGTTGTGTGTGTGTTTGTTGTGTGTGTTTGTGTGTGTTTGTGTGTGTTTGTTGTGTGTGTTTGTGGTGTCGGCGCGCGTGTGTGTGTGTGTTGTGTTTGTTGCTGTGTGTGTTTGTGTGTGTTTGTGTGTGTGTGTTTGTGTGTGTGTTTGTGTCGGTGTGTGTTTGTGTGTGTGTGTGTTTGTGTGTTGTTGTGTGTTTGTGTGTGTGCATTCACCTAGTTGAGATTGCAGGGGTCGGTCCAAAAGCTCCTGTACTCAGGCCTATTTGTACTCGCCTATTTGTGGGTTGCAGGGGGTCGTAGTCACAGCTCCTGGCCCGCCTCTTCGCTGATTTGCTACTAGGTCCTCTCTCTCCCTGCCCCATGAAGCCTCTATCATACCTCGCCTTTTAAAACAATGTATGGTTCCGGCCTCCACTACATCACTTTCTAGGCTATTCCATGCCTGACTATCTCTATGACTGAAGAAATACTTCCTAACATCCCTTTGATTCATCTGAGTCTTCAACTTCCAATTGTGACCTCTTGTGTCTGTGTCCCATCTCTGGAACATCCCGTCTTTGTCCACCTCGTCAATTCCGCGCAGTATTTTATGTCGTTATCATGTCTCCCCTGACCCTCCTGTCCTCCAGTGTCGTCAGGCCGATTTCCCTCAACCTTTCTTCATAGGACAATCCCCGTAGCTCTGGGACTAGTATTGTTGCAAACCTTTGCACCTGTGTGTGTTTGTGTGCGCGCGTGTGTATGTGTATGAATGTGTGTGTGTGCGTGTGTATGTATGAATGTGTGTGTGACTCGACAATCAATATTTGCACCAATAACTCATTACAGTTGTGACCGGGTGTGGAAGTGTGAATTGCTCACTACTCTATAATTTGTTCATGATTGTAGCCATGTATAAACGTAAGTAACCATTCTTACAGTATTCATTACCTTTGTAACTTGAGTTCATTACCTTGTACCTAGTTCAGCCATCAAAACTTTGGGGCCCAGTCCCTGGACCCATTACGTACCTCTGTAATCTGTAAATACCTTTGTAACTTGTCATGATTGTGACTAGACCTACCTGTAGTTCATTACCTTTGTAATTTGTGAGTTCATTACCTTTGTAAATTGTGAATTCATTACCTCTGTAACTTGCTCAGCTATCAAAACTTTGGAGTCCAGTCCCTGGACCAATTATGTACCTCTAATCTTTTGACTACCGCCCACAGGATGGGTATGGGGTGCATAATAAACATATTAAACTAACACTTTCCCTTACCGACAGAGTCCCACCACCCAATGACATCAACCCCCCCCCCTCCTCCATCAGCCCACCACCTTTTCCAAGCGCACGCAAAAGATTCCCTCCCCTCCCCTGTTTTCAATAACCCAACGTTCATCTTCCAGAAACCTCTGAAACGCTTCGGCAAACCCTCCCAATTTAAATCCACCAGAACCCCACGATGATCAGAGAAGCTTAAATTCAACGCGCGCGCGCGCACTGCTCACCCTCATCCCCCGAGATGCATAAATATGATCAACCCTCGCCGCATAATCACGCTTAAACGTATGCGTCACTCCGCTCACCTCCCCTCCAACATCCACACCTCTCAACAGATCCCCTAAAAACCCTGAAAAAAACCCTCCCCCTAGGCTCTACATCCTTACGTCGGACAACACAGTTCCAATCACCCCCTATAATTGTAATACCTGGCAGCATTCTGAAATGGTAGACAAGGACATCCCTAAAGAATCTATTTTTAACACCCATATTCCTTTCCGCAGGCCATACACCCCAAATTAAAAACCCACCCGAACCCCCCCCCACATACCCTCGACCCTAACCCACCCGCCCCTCCTCCCTACCTCACACCTATGCAAAAGAACGGCTGGCTTCCTTAATTAATAGCGCCACACCACCTTTCAGTCGTGTAGAGCAACCCATGTACACGTCATATCCGGTAATTGACAATTCACCTAAAATATTTATAATTATGCTCCTGCAAGAACACAAGGTCTGGCACATATCTCCTCAAATAACCCTCTAGAACTTTACATTTGCCCACTGCCTTCAACCCATTAACATTTAAAGTAAGACACCTGAAGGCCGTAATGAGGGCTTTCCCTTAGACACCCTAACACACTTAGAACTCTTCAGGATATTTATTAGAGAAAACTCTTCGCCACAAGTGGCTTCTTCAGGGCTTAAGAAGCAGTCTTTTTTCAGGAGTCTCCCATAAATCAGTTTTTTTTGGCGCGTAGTGTCATTAGGGTCACCTGTAGTAGATCCTTTAACGTTTGTGCTCTAAAGCATTGACGATATTGTTTCCTTGGATCAAACCTGACTACCTCCCATATCCCAGGTGTCGTATGACCTCTTGTTGAAGATTTGGTTATGAGTTATCTATCCCTTTTTAATATAAATGTTTTACCTTTTCTTAGGTCAGAATAAGAACTTTGTTGGAATGCTGCTGTGCCGGATTATTGTTCGGTAACCTCAAGTTGACTTTTAAAGCAAATGTTTCAACTTGCAAACTGACACTCTTGCTCACTTACTGATATTCTTTAGCCTTCCCCCCCCCCCCATGTTTTTTCTGCACTTTTTTCTCCATTAATTTCTGAAGTATCCCTTTGCTTACTTTAGATGAAAAATTTAAACCACTTCCCTGCTTTGATTGTTCCCTGCAGTTGTTACCCACTTCCTCTTCTCATCCCTGTATTTCTTGCCTTCAGCGCTGTACGACCCTTGTGGGTTCACCGTTTAGTCATGGTCTTAAAAAAAATTTTTTGCCTCATTTCCTTGTCTTTTTACCCTCCTCACGGTCTTAAGAGCCTCAAGCCTGTCGAGCACTCTTTTCTAGTAAACCTTAGTCCCTCTATTTGTTCTTGTATCCTAGACCCAGCCATCAGATTGGTACTAACACAATTACTTTCAGGATGAACTAGCCTACGACAGTAATTCCCGACGCTCATCCCTCGGGGCGGACTCTGTCCTAGATCAAGACTTCAGCGAAGATGGACCCTTGGACTCTAGCGTTACTACTCTCTCGTCCCTGGAGACTGTTCTGGGTATCCAGTACGCAGATGACATATTCGCCATCAATAAGGCCATGGAAAGTCGATATCACATGTCTCGATGCATGGCAGACCAACCTCAGGTGAGTCACGTTCTATGAAAGATTCATGATGAGTTCTGGTACTCGGCACTTAACTTTAAATGGTTTTTAAGGTTTATTACTTGTATGCTATGCTCAAATCTGTGGCAATAGTTCTATAAAGCTTCACTAGATAGTACTGAGATGGACAAAACTGACATTCAGTGGATGTTCCTACGCATGTGGGACATACAAAGATCTAGGTGTCATCTTTGTCCAGCGATATATATAATGGAACTAGCAGTGCTCAGAGTTCAGATAGAAAGTGAGGAAACTGCTTGCTCGAAGGGCCTTGTATTAGACGACAGCCACAAGCCAGAGTAAGGCTCAATAAAAGCAATGCATGAAGGAAGCACTGAATAGATTGCATAGTTATTATTGGATGGCTTGGACTAGACTGCAGGGCTATTATTAGTTTAAAAACTTACTCAGGAATCCAGGCTCTCAAGCCCATAATAGTTTTAAAATTTAAAAAAAAAAAAAAAAAAAAAAAAAAAAAAAAAAAACGGGAAACACGAGATAAACATAACTCTCTTCTATAATCTGTTACTACCAAAGTTTCCTAAAATTTTACAACCCGTGTACTCGCCTATTTGTGGTTGCAGGGGTCGAGTCTTGGCTCCTGGCCCCGTGTGTAATTTGTATTGTGCACGCAGTGTGGGGAAGTGTTATAGGTACACAAGCTATTCAGCGCTAGTTTGTTTACATAGCCTATGGTTATATAGGTAACATGCAAAGAAAAAATCCAAATAAGTAATCGCAATGGTTAAGTTTGTACGGCCGCGCAGGTTCGTACAGTAGATGAAACATGACTTAAGTCACTTTTATGGCGATAATTGTTTTCCGTATATAACTATGTAGTGACTTCCCATGGAAGTGGAGCCACAGCTACAACTTGAAAGTTGTCCTTAAATGTTCAGTTTGGATGGCTCCTCCCCCCCCCCTTTACCCACATGTATTAGGCCTTTTAAAAAGATCACTTTATCGAGCTCTTTTATTAAAAGAAGTTGAGCACTTCAGTGTGCTGCTACCCTTTTTTGAAGTACTTTGGAAACAAAAGTTGACTTTTCCTAACATTTTGTACAGCTTTGTATAAAGGTAATATTTTCCCCGAGTCGGGAGAGTTCAGTAAGAATTTGAGGAAAGTCGAACATTAAGTAGCTAAAACAGCAAAGATTTCGTTCCAGAATTAAGTGGGAATTAACACTCGATGGCCTTTCTTCCACAATCGAAATTAAATTCAGAAATCGCAAAAACGAAACAAAATTAGATATGCACCGCAAAATAATTTCATTAACTCTTAAAACCAGTGTGAAACGGTACAAAAGCACCATTACACTGAATGCGGTTTTGGAGTTTGAAAGGGATCTTGAGAGGCTGCCCTGCCTTGGGAGGGGGACTACACTCCTACTAGAGCTCAGCATCCTTTTGAGGAAACGTTTCGCCACACAGTGGCTTCATCAGTCCATACAAAGGAGAAACGTGAAGAACAAGAGGAGAATGAGGTAATCAGTCCCTCGACCTTGAGTCGATGTGGTCAGTCCATCAATCTTGAATAGAATACAGCATATCTGCGGAGAAGTAGCTTGTATACCGTAGGCAGACCATATCACGGGTGTGGATAGAACCCGCGATCAGGAGAGGTGCAGCAGTCGTAGGTGGTGTCACATTTGTCCAATGTGGAAGTAGGTCGTGCCCAAGGGTTAGGCAAGCGAAGAATTCCCAAGTATTAAGATCCCAAGAAGTTGGTGTCTGACAGGATTGTAGATGAATGGTTCAGAGAACAGACACGTTGATTACACACGTGTCACTCTTGGGTATCTTTATTGGGTATCCTCAATAAAGATCCCCAAGAGTTGCACATGTCTAATTAATCAACATGTCGGTTCTCTGAACCCTTCATCTACGTGCCCAGCAGTTGCAGAATCTTGGCTGCTGCTACACAGGAGCTAACTATCATTTTGTCTACAGCCAATACAGGAATGTCAGTGACTACCGAAGTTCAGTTCACTCGGCTTTTAGTTTAATGACGCTCTTGCACTCCAGGTGTCTTCACAGCGGTTCTTGCGAAGACTTGACGAGTTAGGTCTGATGGTCAAGAGGGATGTTCCGGGTAGGGTGCAGGTGATTTATAGGCCCCGGAAGGTTTACCTTTCTCTTCCGACTTTGTGGTGTGCTGATGTTCAGACCTCTCCCTCCCCCCTACCTTCTATATGATGGAGTCGTTTGTTTTATCAGTGCTTTGTTTTCGTTGAATGGCCAGTGGTGGCTCTTAGCTGATTATAGGTCTGTAGTAGGTTATTGTAATATTCTTCCACATCAGCTGCGGAGCTGATGTGGATTATTCATACTATAACTACTGATCTAGTAACTACTCTTGAGAGGTCCGGAGTTGATAGCCAATTAACTATAATCCTGGGCTATTATGCAAACTGTTTCATCAAATATCAACTTAGCTAATTATATTTACACAGCAACAGGTTTGTCACGAATTTGATGAGCCGTGTTTCTAATCTTGGATGTATAATACATTCTTAGTGTAATGTAGTATTTCTTTTACCTTATTAATGGAAGTACTGTACTTCAGGTTACAGAAAACATGCGTTGCACCTTGGTCCACTGGCTTATCAAGGTCAACAATCAGCTCAAGTTTGGCCCAGAAACTGTGTTCGTGGCCGTCAACCTGGTCGACCGCTTTCTGGCAGTGACTCCCTTGGCCCAAGATTGTTTTCAGCTGCTGGTTGTGGCAACGCTCTTCATTGCAGGCAAGATGGTAGGTACGTCAGATGTCCACTGTTGGTGAGAATGGTGTGTTGCACCATTTGAAGGCACTAAGGCGTCGGTCTGATTAGCTTTATTTAATAGCTCTTCCGGTTAATTAAAAAAACTAAATTTTAGTAAGGATTTTAAATATTGAAGTTACATAGTTTTTGATCTAATCTGACCGGACGCTGAGTCATTTCAGCATGGCATAGTTTGAACATCCTAAACTACGAAGCCAGCAACCTCTTCACTTGATTTGGCATGCCATCATTACGTTGTGCCCCAGGTATGGTAAGAGGGTGGTTCATGGGAAAGTTGGTACTTGGTAAATTTGTTGGAATGGAGGACTAGTGACTGGCAGTGGTTTTTAAATGGGTAGTTAACCTTTTCATTCTTTTGCTCTTCTATGCAACTTGTCTATCGAGGCACCAACCTGCGGAAACCACTTCAGAAGATCACTGCGCGAACATAATTCATGGCAGTGAGCTCTAGACTGCGCGAGAGACTACTAGGCAACCGGCTGATGTTACTGACGTTGGTCCTGATTTCACCTCGCTTAGTGTAGGTATTCTAGTGGGGGACTATTATTGTTATATTATGGTTGATGGAATTCAAATTTCCAAGTAGTACCTGGTAGGTTATTTCCTCTCAGCATGAGCTCTTTAACTAGCATTGACAAACTATTGCTATTAAGTGGTGATAACACTAAATGCAGGAAGTCCTTTATCAGTACTCTCTTAAGTCTTGAGGTCGAGATAATGCAGGTGGCCTACTGGCCAAACATTAGGCTCTTTATTTTAGAACAATGTGCGCGATCAGGGAAGGAGACAAATACACGTATCTTTCACCCAGGTAGATCTTTGACTTGATAAAGCCCACTGTGTGGGCGAAACTTTAATACAGGATCACATTATACTGCTTATGTTTATATTTCCAGCATGTGATCTTTTATTGACAAAGTTTCGCCCACGCAGGGGGGCCTTTTAAAGTCTCTCACAACTACTTATGGAAAGGATGTGCGTATATGAGCGTAGTGACATAAAGGGTCAAGTGAGGAATGTTTAGCTGGAAAAGAATGTTTGAGAAGGATCCTCCTGGCATGGGCCAGTAGGTCTGTTATGTGAAGATTGAGACATTTGTGCAACATATGGTATCTTCATTGAGAAAACGTTTCGCCCTTGTGTGGCTAAACTTTTCCTCAATGAAGATTCCCATATGTGGCACAAGTCTCAATCTTTAACTTGTCGGTTTTCAAACATTCATCACAACTGTCAGATACTGCATCATGGAATCTTGATACAAAGAATTTTTCTAAACTTATCCAACCTTAGGACGAAGACCTACTTAGACTAGTGGATGGTACCACTATGACACCGCCTCCTGCTTCGCCTCGCCTGACTACAGTATACAAGCCATGTCTACGGCCTTGTGCTGTACATTCTACAAGACTGATAGACTGAAACACAGACTCCAGGCTGAAGTACTGATTACCTTTACTCCTCCCCTTACACCTTTCTGCTTTGTACTGGACTGATGAAGCCACTGTGGCAAAACGCTTCCTCAATGAAGATTCCCATGTTGCACAAGTGTCTCAATCTTCAACTTTTCGGTTTTCAAACTATTCATCACAGTCTGTTATGTAGGTTAGCGATGAAGTTTCGTGGTAAGAGGTTCAGCTGTTGTAAACAGCTTTTCTGGTTGAGATTGTTGGATATACAGATGCGTGAACATTCAAAGATCCCTTGTCTCTGGGTGTCTTGCCTGGCGTCTCTGTAATTAATAAAGTAGAAATTTGTATGACTTCACTGCATCAGTTTGTATTTAATATTTGAAATGTTTATGCTAAAATACAATGGAGTATATCCTGATCACTTGGAGATCCTCTAACAGTGATTGTCTGTTTGCCTGCAGTAGTGCCCATCGTGGAAGCAGGCGTTACTTCGCTTGTCATTTCTGCTGGTGATTTCCCCTAATAGCTGAGAGAAATATGGAGTCTGCCTGTTGAATGGCCTCGTACTAGTTCTCCAAAAAAGTGCATCGAATCCTTGTATCCAGCCGAGAGGAAGCTGGAACTAGGGAAATAACTTGCAGCTGTTGATACTGCATCTCGTTTAAAGAAGACTGCATTTTGTAATTTTTATAGTAAAAAGTTACTGATACGTGACTAGGATGAACTGCGACTTCGCTGCTCTTTAACACAAAAGCCACGCTGGTTTGCTTGGAGGATTATGGTTACTTCTGTACGGCTATTTTCTGGTCAAATGCGTGATCTATGCGGTAGAAACTGACATTAGTATTTTTAAAATTAGTGTTTGGCACAAACTGGTTTAATCATTGTGCCGTAGACCTGGAAGGGTATTAGGAAATGCTAGTAGCCACATTAGCGGATTTTAAAAGATATCATTCCATGGGTCCTCGGTATTTCTTGCGCACCTGTTTACCTGTATTGAGATGTGCATCTGTTTATAATTTAAATTACTTCCCTATCAGCCGAGTTTTACTTAACGTGTAATGTCTGGTATATATACTCGTTTCAGGAAGAAAGTGTTGTACCTGGGATCAGTGAGTTGGTCTCCATATGTGGCGGAGTGTACCGCCATCACCACTTCCGGCGCATGGAAGTCCTCATCCTGTCCAAACTTGAGTAAGTTGAAAATTTTCTTCTTACAGCAGTATTGGTTTTGTAATAATTGAAATCTGTGGTGTGGAGGCAGACCGAAAATGTTTAATAAGGTAGTGAAGGAAAAACTGAAGCAGTGGTGTGGTGGTGGTGTGATTGCTTAAAAAACATCTTCAGCTAAGTGGTTGACTTGAGCGATGGTTCTTTTTTTTTTTTTTTACCATCTACAGGTTTGCGTTATACGGCCCCACCAGCTGGTATTTCCTCGACCACCTGGCGATGAAGGCGGCACAGACAGGCATGATGGACAGGTGAGCTTAGTTTGGAAGTAGTCTTAGCATGGTATGATAAACTGCGTCAACTCTGACGTCTAATACCTTAACATATTTTGTTTTAGCACTTTTATTTATGGTTGTCTCGCAACTTGATATTGTTTAACGTTGGTTCCCAAAGATGAGCGAGCCCAAAATGGAGTCACCTTGTGGAATGTAGTTTGTGTTAATGTTCTAGCTTCAAGATCAGTAGTTTTGCGTATAATTGTAACAGTTCTCGCTCGCCTTTATGGGCTAAACTTGTGCTTTGTGAACGAGCAGCTGAACTTAGTCGCACTTCAATTATACTAGTGGAAATTCATTGACCTGACCACTGACTTGTCCACTTTGTGCCTCAGGCGGGTGGTGAGCGTGTCTAGGTACGTAATGGAGACCTGTCTTAGCAGTTACGAGGTCAGCCAGTTCCTGCCCAGTGTGCAAGCAGCAGCGGCACTCTCCTGGCTCTGGGTATTGTCCCCAACCCATCCACCTCACGCACCATACACTCCCTGTAAGTTGCCATGCAGCAAGTTGTAGATTGAGACAGCCACCAAGAGGTACTCCAGTCCTAAGTGTGAAACTTAAAATTTTTCTCGCTGACTGGATTACTGGCTTTTATTGTGTTTAAGTGGGCATTTTAGAAGTGTTATAAACCCTGTAGTATTTTTGTGAATCTGGTGTCCTAATCTGAGGCTGCTGGTAGATTTCTACACGGGAAGATTCACATTAGTTAATACAGTTCATACAATGCTGAATAACCCTCATGGAGCAAGTGAACTTTAAAGTAAAATTTGAACTTTTAGGCTAGTCTCGGGGGGAGGGGGCATTTCGCAGGATCGATCCAGCTTGCCGTTTTCCATTAAAATTTGAAATGGGGTTTGATCAGGAAGGAATTTTTCATAAAGCTGTGAATATTTTGTTCTAAAACTTGTGGCAATTTGGGAACTCCTCTAATTACTTGTAATTTTCAAGGAAGGATAATTAGGACTGTAGATACCATTTGTGTGTGTGTGTGTGTGTGTGTGTGTGTGTGTGTGTGTGTGTGTGTGTGTGTGTGTGGCGCGCGCGCGCGCGCCGCCCCCCCCCCCCCCAAAGTACTGTAGTCTCTATTAGCTTCGAACTTTAGATGCAGATGTATTTAAAAAGTTACTTGCTATATACAAATAACCCGCACATAGAAGAGAGGAGCTTACGACGACGTATCGGTCCGACTTGTACCATTTACAAAGTCACACTAATGAGAGGTTAGTGAGACTTTATAAATGGTTCAAGTCGGACCGAAACGTCGTCGTAAGCTCCTCTTCTATGTGCGGGTTATTTGTGCATCGTTCCAGTCACGGTATTGTGCCTTTTTTTTTTTTTTTAAACTAATATGCATACCATACTCGTCCTGTGGGATAGTTGACCGGAGGAACATAATGGGTTCAGGGACTGGGCTCCCTGTGCGGATACAAATTTCCCAATTAAAACGGCCGTTGCCGGGGGGGGGGGGGAGAATGGAGTGGTAATGTTGGTATTGAGATAGCTGAAGAATACCTTAGGATCAGTTTCAAACCATCAATTCTGGTATACTTTACTCGGGAAAAGATGTTCATTGTTAACGAGCAAGGAAAGTCATAATTTTCCTGTATTGAGTGAGTTTCCTTAAATAACTGTCTTTAATGATTAACCCAAATTTCCATCACTGATTTTGCCTTGTTTAATAGAGGATTAAGATTTGTTTTGGTCTGTATAGCTGCAATTTTGCCAAGTTTGTTTTAGGATTATGCTGTGCACAGACTGCCCTGCAGTGGCAGTCTTTCGTTTTCCTCGTAGGATTGTAGGACATTAAAGCAGAATATAATCAGGAGCCCAGATGCTTTGGGAAATAGGGGTCCTCGCTGGAAAAATCCTTCCCTTTCTCAGGGGGGCACTTCCTGTTCAGCCTTTGAGTACCTTACCGGTGGCCCAACCAAATATCCAGGCAACCACTGATCCATTCTGTCCGTCTTATCTTCTGGTTGCCTGGAGGTTAGCTCTTTATAGCATCCACTGAGGTGCATCTGTCATGGAATGCTGCCTGGTGGAAGCATGGAGAGGGAGCATCTTAAAGGTCACTATTCCCGTGAAGGGGCTTCCACTACCACCACCTGTTAGGACCATCTCTGGAGTGCCTGGTCAGGGTCACGAACTTCAGTTGGTCCTGGACAGTTGCTAACTCTGGGCCTGTGGTTCGCCGCCCCTCTGGGGGCCGTGTTGGCTGCCACAGCGAAGGTTGCTTATGTCTTTCATAATGGGAAGGACCAGACTCAAAACTAAAGACCTCTAAGCATACCTAGGAGCACCAGTCCTCTGCTTCTAGCCTTGGTGGTCTGAGTCGTCCACAGGTGCTACGAATGGGGAAAAGTGAGAGCATTCGCAGAAATCTGGAGAGCCGGTCCTGTTTAGTCACGATGTTCAGTTCGACAGGGGAAAGTCAAATTACCTCTAGTCATCAGCCAGCCGTCCAAAGAGGTTTGGTTCTCAGGCCTCGAAAGTGGCTTTCATTAAGACTGTTCACATAAGGACCTGTCTCCCCTCTAGCCCTTCTGGGCCTGTGAATAACTTTACGCTTGGCAGGCTGAATCTATGATAAAGGTGTGATGTAGTTCAGCTGGGCTTGTGAGGTCTCTGGGGAGACCTAATTTAATCAATTATATGGTCACACCTTGCCTTGGCAAACGTCTGTCAGCCACGCCCACGTCTGAGGTCTTTTATTCTTGACGGCGTCAGACCTAGGCGTCAGGTCGTACACGTGGTTGTGGGGGGTGCTCTCGGGACAAAATAAGCCCAAGGAACAGCTGAGCAGGGGAGATTCGGGCCGAGCTCTGGCCTGGGAGCAGGGCTGAGCTGGAGAGTCTCGGGAGGAGAGACTGTTGGAGACATTGGGCAGAGTACTGGCTTGGAGTAGTACTCGTGCTGTGTAGGTCTTGGGACCTGTGGCTTAGTTCCTGTAGTGAACTGTCCTCTGTACTATATTGTAAGTTACATTCATTTTAGTCAAGTTGTGTTCCCTGTCTCACTGCTTATATGTACCACCCCATTTGTCTAAACCACAATGTTCTGTTCCCAAATATATTATTGTACAAAGACTTAATAATAAACGGTGTTTGAGTAGAATAGTAATATTCAGTCCGTTATTCATTAGTTTATTTCAGTTAAAGTAGTGAGAGGGTGAGGAGTGTGGAGTGGTGGGTAGAGTAATGAGAGGTGAAGTTGTAGTCACCAGTGACCTCACATTACCTACCAACCTCCGCTAATCATCTCTCCTACCACTTCGCCTGCCTATCCCCTGCCTATACATACCCTCTTACTCCCATATCCCCCTAATCATTACCCCCCTACATGACAAAGGTCCAGGCTACAAGGTAAAGCGGGATTAATAGCCTCTCCTCTATACTAGTTAGTAGGAAGGAAAGACTATAGCCCTCCCCTGTCATGTTACTATCGGAGTATTAAGCCTAGTACTGAAGACAGTCCTGTTCTGTTTACGAAACCACTTGGGACAACGGAGTTCTGTGTACTAATTTGCTTCTTACGCCCTTACGCCCCTGTGCCCCTGGATGATGCCAGAGTGCGTGGGAATCTTGGTACGTCCTGCTGTCAATTACCTGCAGGCTGTGACGATCAGTAGTGAGGTTGCAGGGCTACCCGACGATGCTCCTTGCACACCTCATCAGATTAGGTTTTAAATCTTACTGACCTAGTATGGGAGCTACTCTGCCCATTCCTTCTGGGTGATCAACTCTATATATTTTTGGCCGTGTCGAGCCAAAATTGTTCGTTTGGAGGTCTTACCGATATGGATGTAAGCATCCTAAACGAAGAGCCTGACCTATCAGTGTTCTTAAGAAAGCGCTCTCGAGTATAATTTGTTCCTTATATGCATCTGGACTTCAGATGGTATGTTTTTCCGAACTTGCATAGTGATTGACTCCTTGAGTCAGCGGGATTTTTTCACTCTGGTTTGTCCTCTGCCGTGGAAGTTGGAGTCTATGGTCTGGTGGCTTTAAGCCTAGCGTAAGGATAAATTTTGATTATTTTTTTTTACTAAGTGCACAAGAGGATAATGGCCACCTCTGTTTTTCCTGGGGGTGGAGGCTAGCATTTCTCGGTCAGGTGGATAATCAAATTGTTGAACCCGAAAGGGTCATGCAGTGGTGTAGAGAGTCTTGGAAAAAGATCGGAGAGCACTGCTGGATTGTGCACAATTCATAGCCTAAGGTACCACCATTCTCTGGTTAAAAAGCTGATATACCAGTGGATGTTGGTCATCAGTGTTCAAAGACACTGCGTACATTCTGGGTCAATTAAGTGAAAGGAATTAACAGGTTTCAGTGTAGAAAAAAAATACACAATGTGTTAATCCAAAGATATTGAACAGCCTCCTCTAAAAATGAAGGTCGAGTAATCAAGCACTAACACGGACACACTCCTGCACCCACTAAGGAAATGTTAAACCTCCAGGTATTTCCTATGTAATGCGACCCATATGGAAGAGATAGGCAAACTTGCTAAAGAACTGTGTAAAATTTTACTTTAAATTTTAAACCGTTTGGTCTGATAGCCACGAAGAATAAGATTCTCCAAAATGTAATTATCATAAGGAAATAAGTTACGAGGTCGATTAAAGTAAATATCCTATTTAAGACGAGTAATATCGAAAACTTGAAACCCTTCTCCAGTTATCGCACAATCCCATTAATATTTTTAGTATTTGTAAATTTGCAGAAACTAAGGTTATCGGGTATCATTTTTCATGAAATACTTTCATCTGCAGTTTGAGGTCGGTCAAAAGGCATTTATAGTTAACAGAAATCAGTATCACAATTTAAAGCTGGAAAGTTGGGACTTTCGCAGCTCTCTAACGAGAACCTTCACTTTGGAACGCACCAGCCCTAAAAGCTGTAGCAGGCCAGGAGCGGTATTCTCAGTTGCATAAATTGAAGCATTCCAGTTTAAGTATATTAGCAAATTTGTGCCCAATTGGTTAAATTTACAGGATCTTTCAAGCAAGATGCATGAATTGTGGATTTAAGCAATTTAAATTTCACAAATATTTCCACCTTTTCAAAATTAACCGGGTTTAGAGCTTAGTCTGATTGTTTTAAGTATGATTAGTTAATTTCGTAAATATAATCACGAAAGCAATCAGATAAAGGCTTCATTGCACGGAACTAAATTTGGGAACGGGCCATTTGTCCTAGGGCGCCTGCACATGCCTATAATTGAGTTTCCTTACCCTGTATAGTTAATCAGCGACGAAAAGTTGAGGCAGATTGGATGAAGAGTTATCAAGTTACAAACGAAAGTTTGGAGAAAGGAAAATAAATCGGGCATCACTTAAAGTACTTGGGAGATGCATAATGCTCTTAGTTTTCTTGGAGCATTGTATGCTACTTGTGGGTTTAGTGCTTCCCCATGAATTTGATGCATGGTGCCGCTAACAAGTGGTAAAAAAAGGTATCCATAGCAAGAGACAACCAGATTAATGACAGTAATGTCTTTCTAGTGTATCATTGATACAGGCTGTGTGAGCTGTACACGTCCGAGGAGCGGAGGGAAGCTTCAGTGTGTTCTACTCTCATGAGCCGCTACATGGCGCCCTTCCTAGACTCCATTTCTCCTGCCACTACTCACAACCACTTCAACTCTGGGCCCATCCCTCCAGCGACACCCGACGGAAACAAGGCAGCCACACAATGATCATTCTTCAGGCGATCACCACCTGGGGGGTGTAGAGGGTTAAATTTACATTTCCTCGGAAGTGTTGAAATCCCTCATTACCAGCTTTGGCTAGTTTCAATACCTTTTTTTTTTAAGGTTGTAAGCTTCTAACTGTTGGATGACCAAATGAATGAGCTACAATTAAACATTAAAATTAGGCATTTCAAATGTTTACCAAAATTTTAGTGACACTTTTGTTCAGGTGGTTCTCCACTACGCGGTGTGCCGCGGACTCGCTCTTCCACCTCTGCCTTGCTAGTGACTACTCGTGTTATCGCGGCTGAGAATAGAACTTGTCACTATATGCCGTGCACAAGTAGGTACAAAACGTAACAAGGTGGCCTCTCCCACACTGTACACCGTCTTCATCATAGTGTATAAGAGGTGAAGGCAAGGATTATTTCGTGTAGACAACTTTTCTAAGGCCTAGATTCTTTGTTTTAGGGTTAATTCTATGAAAGTATCCGCAAGAGATGAATATGGCACGCGACGATGGCATTGTGAACCTGAAGAGTTTCTGGCTAATTTGATTTTGCGTGCACTACAGGAGTTTACATGCTAGCTAATAGGATGAGAGGTCCAAGAATGACCTCAACGTCCGCAAATTACGCTAGGTTGATACACCGAGAAACATTTATATAAATAAAAATTTGATCCAAGGTTAATTTATTGGTAAGAGAACGTCAGTAGGCGCAAGGTTCCTATTCACTGATGCTGTTTTTTTTTTTGTTGGAAATTATTGTTACTAGTTTTTGAAGTTTTTGGCGGTTTAATGTTTCAGCTTTCCTCACCCTGGCACTCGCCTTAGGGTGTTTAAAACTTTATGGAGAATGTGGTCAAAACGTAAAGGTTGCAGTGCCTGGGGAATGGAAGGCAATAAGGTTTAATAAGGAGAGTAGCTCAAGTAGAGCAAGAACTCTTCAATATTCCGTCCGTGAAGGGTAGTTCAGTAAATTCCCTAAATCCGCGGTGATGGATAGAAGAAAAATTGGTGTAGACTTGTAACTTAAAACACATTGTAGCCCTTGTGGCTTAGCGCTTCTTTTTGATTATAATAATAATAAAACACATTGTAGGTGCACTGTCATGGTTATGCCTGGAGGGTGTTCCAACGGTCAACCCCCCCCCCCATGGCCCGGTTCACGATATCTGCGATTTATGTTACTGATTCACTGGTCAACAATTTTTGAAAAGTTGTATGCTTCTTAAATGAGATTAGTTAATTCTTATGTATTTTCTTGTCCTGAATCCAAGTATCTCATTGAAAAATGCTTATTGGCTATAGGTTTAAAGATACGAGCATGTAATATCTATTTTATTATAACGTACAATGTGTCCGTATGTTTTCAACTCTAAATAAATAACAAAAAGGCACAATACCGTGACTGGAACGATACACAAACTCTAATCCGTACCTACTCTTCTTTTTTGCTTGACGCTTATAGTGGGCTGAAGATCCCTTGCCACTCTCCAGCAATAGTCTGCCAACATTCTTGTCCCCTCATTTGCCCAGCAGCTCTATCTTATTTTTGAGAAGTTGCAGATCCCTGACAAGGTCATGGAGTTTCCCTTTTGTTAAAAGATGTGACCTAGAAGCGTGTGCTTCAAAGTTTCGGTACTCTGTAATCCAGCACTGTCATCCTTCTCTTCCTCCTCACCACTTTAATTATAGGATACAGAAGTTTGTGCATCAGTAGCAGGTAGACCTACATGTGAAACTGAGCGAATAGCTGATGGAATGTTTGCATATTCCTCCCCACCCCTCCCTTTTGCCCTTCCTCTTTTCGGCCTTTGGGATTTCTCCCACAGGCGCGCTAGTTCCTAGGTAGGGGAAAGGATACTGGGGTCCATCCCATTCCGTTGAGGTTCTTGGCGGTGGCGTAGTTTGCCGTGGAATCTGGATCGCCTGGGGATGTCCCGATCCCTCTCCGGTATCCCGGAGTAGCTTTGGGTGTCATTCAGGTGACAGGTGTATCTCTGGAAGCCACCTTTCGGATTCTGGGGGTGGTGGCCGAAGGAGGTATGCTTTGTGGCAGATATCCGGCCGCCCTCTCTCTTGTCCACCGAGGTAGCTCGGCAGATGTGAGGTTGCTATCCCGGATTGTTAGTTTACTAGCATGATGGGTAGGGTATGGCACGGGTTCCATGCTGCATCTGCGCTACTTGCGGTGCTGAGGTCCTCTTGGGCGCGGAGGGAGATTTCTGGCCCTTTCATTCCTCCTAGGAACTATCCCTCCCCGGTCCCCCTTTTTATTCTTTTTTTTTTATTTTTTATTTTTTTTTCTTAAAAACAAAAAGAAAGTAACCTAACCATGGCAGCCCTAGTCCATGAACCTCCTATCCCCGGGCCCCTTCTTGATACCACACCCCGTTCTGACCCCACCTCGTCTTTGGACCACTCTTCAGACACTCCTCATGCCTCTGTACCTCTTGCCAGTGCTGTTTCCTCACCCGCTTCAGGTACTGAGGCCTTGACTGACTCCTTCGATTTATCGGACCTTCGCTCTCCTCTGACTAGGCTTCTGGCCTCTCCCTCTATGGTGCGGCAGTTTTCAAATCGCCGACCCGTTCCACGTCAGACCAACTCTGGTCCCACGCCTAAATGCCAACGACAATTACCTGCTGATGATACTTCTCCACCTCGTTCTTCTCAGAAACGATCGACATGTCCTTCACTACCTTTCCACGCTCAGTTTGACTGAACAATGGACTAAATTCTTCACTTTACGACCGACTTCCTCTACTGCCTATCTTTCTGACCACAGTATTGGCAAGGCACTCCTACGCCATGTTGGTAAAGATATTTCTTTTCATGCTCTTAAGAGCGGTACGCGCATCATCACCGTACAGAATGCTACCCAGGCTCATGAGCTCTTGTCTTTCCCATATCGGTACTGTTCATGTCACTCTTGAAAAACATCATTCCCTCAATTCTTGTAGTGGTACCGTCATTCTGCCCCATACCATAGTTCAACAAAATTTCCAGACATGTGGCACTGACATTCTTGAACAGCTGGAACTCCAAGATCTTCCTGCCCACGGGCGGAGACGATACCCTAGCAATGTGGCTCGTTTAACTTTTGACAGCCGAAAACTCCCATCCTCAGTTTATATAGCAGGACATCGGTTACAAGTCCGAAATGTGATCCCTACACCGCAACAGTGTAGAAATTGCTGGCGATTTGGCCATCCAGCGAAATATTGCAGATCTATCGCCGAATGCCCAGTCTGTGGTGCCGATGACCATTCTCATGCGTCTTGCAATCGATCTCCCTCTTGCCTTAACTGTCATTAGGCTCACCCTTCGTACTCTCGCCGTTGTCAAGTCTATTTAAACAAGCGGGAAATCCGTTACCTCAAAGAGACAGAAGGTCTCCCTTATGCTATGGCAGTTTCTCATCTCCGCCTCCAAGGGAGACTCCCACGTGTTTCTTATTGCCGTGTTTCAAAACGTCCCCCCACTTCTGGTATCCCATCTTCTACACCCACCTCTGTGGTTACCTCTCCCATAGTCACTCCTGTATCTAATCCTTTTGCTGTCCTCAGCTCAGACGTCCCTACTTCAACGCCTCGGTCTGATCTCGCTTCTTCATGTTCTCCCTCACAAGCCTCAGTAACGACGAGATCTCGTATGACACCTCCTCCCAATCGTCCCTCTACTTCTCAAAAGTCAAAAAAAGGTCCGTTAACACCTCCTACCCATCTTCCACCTCATTTTACCCTTCCTGTCTCTGTCCCTGGTTCTTTCCCTCTCACTGGCTCTGTTACAAGTGTAGAGGTTCACCCTCCTCCTCGTACTGTACCTTCCTCCCCTGTTCCCTCCCAGGTTTCTTCCTCTTCTGCCACCTCCCAGGTTTCTGCCTCTTCTGTCCCCTTCCACGCTTCTCCAGTTCCCTCCACCCTTTCGCCCCCCCCCCCTACCTTGGTACAGTCCAATACAGTTCCAATCTTTACTCATCCTCCCCCTACCATTTCCAATATCGTCTCCCATACGACGTCTCTGAATTCCAAAACACTTGAAGCAATCTGAATATATTGCAGAGACCAAACCATCAATGGACACTGATCCACCCTCTGTTCCTTCTCTCTCCTCTCCTCCATCTGCGCAACTCCTTTCTTCACAGTGCACCGTTCCTTCGCTGCTTGAACGTTTTCCACTGCCTCCGCATGTGGACTTTTCTAACCCCTCTAGTCCGTAGGAACCCTTACCTGCGGATTTCAAGTATCTTTATCATTGCCAATCATGGCCTATTTACAGTGGAATATACGTGGCCTCGGGTAATTGGAGTGAGCTTCAGATGTTACTCTCCCAGTTTGCCCCTGTTGGTGTTTGCTTACAGGAACCAAAATTACACTCTGCTGTTATCTCTCCCATCTCAGGCTATAATTTATTGTATTCTTCAGATCCTTTTCCTGATGGGACCTTTAATGAAAGTGCCCTTCTTCTACGCACTGATATTCCGTACCATCAGCTATTTGTTCATACTTTGCTGCATTACACAGCAGCCAGTATCCACTTGCATAGGTGGTATACACTCTGTTCTTTATATCTCTCTCCTTCTCGGGTATTATCTATTCCGGATATTGCCTTTCTTGTTTCGTCATTACCGCCACCGATTCTGTTACTTGGTGATTTTAATGCCCACCATTTCCTCTGGGGGGGGGGTCTCACTGTGATTCCCGTGGAATTCAGTTACAGGCTTTTCTTGCCACCCATCCCCTCCATGTTTTAAATACAGGTATGCACACCCATTTTGATCCTCAGACTCGTACTCTCTTGCACTAATCTGTCTGCTCTTCCTCCACCGCATTAGACTTCACTTGGTCTGTTCTCTCGGACTTACATGACAGTGATCATTTCCCAATCATTCTTACTTCCCCTTCATATTCGCCACCTCTTCGCACCCCACGCTGGCAATTTAATCGGGCAAATTGGAACCTTTACTCACACCTGACTGTTTTTAAAGAGGTTCCTTCTTCGTCCTCAATCGATGAGCTTTTACACCTCTTCTCGTCCTCCGTTTTCACCGCAGCTTCTCATTCTATACCCCAAACTTCGGGCAGGCATTCTCAGAAATGCGTGCCTTGGTGGTCTCCTGCTTGTGCTCGTGCAGTACGTTTGAAACGCGCTGCATGGGGCAGGTACCGGTACAATAGAACCACAGAGCGACTCCTTGATTTTAAACAGAAGCGTGCGATCGCTCGCCGTGTCATTCGTGACGCTAAACGCACTTGCTGGCGAGATTGTCTCCACCATCACCTCTGCTTCCTCTATGAGTGCAGTCTGGAAAAAAGTACGAAAACTGAGTGGTAAATATTCTCCTGACCCGGCTCCTGTTCTGCGAGTTGCCGGTGTTGATATAGCAAACCCACTAGATGTTGCCAATGAAATTGGCAATCATCTGGTCCGTATTTCTCAGGGGACTCCATCTATGCCCTCATTTCTTTCCTCAAAGTCTGCCAGAGAGTTAGCACCCTTGGACTTTTCTTCTCTCAGAGAAGAACAGTATAATGTTGCCTTTTACACTTCAAGAACTGGAGGCAACACTCTCAGCTTGTCGATCATCGGCAGCTGGGCCCGACGACATTCATATTCGTATGCTTACAACATTTACATCAGTCAGCCCTTGCAGTCCTATTACGCCTTTACAATCTTATTTGGTCACAAGGAGTTCTTCCACAGCTGTGGAAATCCGCCATTGTTCTCCCTTTCCGCAAACAGGCACTACGGGACATGAAACCTCCCACTATCGTCCCATTGCTCTTACCAGTGCAGTTTGCAAAGTAATGGAAACGTCTAGTAAATAGACGTTTAGTGTGGTATTTAGAGACGCACAACAGTCTCTCCACTCGTCAATATGGCTTTCGTAGGGACGTTCTACCATAGACCCTTACTGCGCTTGGATACGTATGTTCGTAATGCCTTTGCGAATAACCACTCAGTTATTGCCATATTTTTTGACCTTGAGAAGGCATATGACACAACTTGGAGGTATAATATTTTAGCCCAAGCCCACTCCTTAGGCCTTCGAGGCAATCTACCATCC